GCAAATTCTATCTGTAGGACCATATTCCCCATTTAAGCAGTATTTTTTAGAACGTTTTATCACATTTGACACCTGAGTAGTTTTTGCATCACAAATGCCTGAATTAGCGGTAAGCTACTCAAAAATGTTCCTCTCAATTATATGCTACAATAATATTAACCCATTGGCTAACACTTAATATCAATACATACTCTACCTCCCCATTCAAGACACATGTCATGNAGCGGTAAGCTACTCAAAAATGTTCCTCTCAATTATATGCTACAATAATATTAACCCATTGGCTAACACTTAATATCAATACATACTCTACCTCCCCATTCAAGACACATGTCATGCTCCTAAGCACAAAACCAGTTGCAATTGCCATGATATGCACAATGTGTCCACACACACTTTTGTGGTTGATAACATCTTAGTCATAAGCATCACATTGGTGCCAACCAATTACCATGATGTGTGCCACATGTCCACACCATGTTGGGATACTAGCTAAAATCTTTTGCCATAGTGACACCAGCCAGTGTCATTGACCNACATGTCATGCTCCTAAGCACAAAACCAGTTGCAATTGCCATGATATGCACAATGTGTCCACACCAGGTATNCTACAATAATATTAACCCATTGGCTAACACTTAATATCAATACATACTCTACCTCCCCATTCAAGACACATGTCATGCTCCTAAGCACAAAACCAGTTGCAATTGCCATGATATGCACAATGTGTCCACACACACTTTTGTGGTTGATAACATCTTAGTCATAAGCATCACATTGGTGCCAACCAATTACCATGATGTGTGCCACATGTCCACACCATGTTGGGATACTAGCTAACATCTTTTGCCATAGTGACACCAGCTAGTGTCATTGACCATAGGCCTTAACAATTTGAACCTTTGAAGCAATAGTATAAAGTCTATCTGAGGGAAATAGCTGTCCCTTCGTGTTTACATGAAGAAAGGCACAGCTTGATGCAGTCTTCTTTTCTGCAAATCCTGAAGTTACTAATTTTCTAGCCCTTCTGGGTGCTATTTCAAAAGCTTTCTTTCACATTTTAAGGGTATGCATTTGCTTTCTTTCACATTTTAAGGGTCTGCATTTGCTTTCTATATTTAGACATGTACACCCANAGTCTATCTGAGGGAAATAGCTGTCCCTTCGTGTTTACATGAAGAAAGGCACAGCTGATGCAGTCTTCTTTTCTGCAAATCCTGAAGTTACTAATTTTCTAGCCCTTCTGGGTGCTCTTTCAAAAGCTTTCTTTCATATTTTAAGGGTATGCATTTGCTTTCTTTCACGTTTTAAGGGTCTGCATTTGCTTTCTATATGTAGACATGTACACCCACACATATATATATATATCATCCTCTAATCCACGCTCAATTAATGTTTAGATAAAAATCCTTTCCGGCAATATCCCATTTCAAGGACACACTGGCTTTGGCGGAGCAATGTCATGGCTGTAATTATCTGTAAATTATTGGTATACTTACGCTGTATACTAATTATCAGTGCGAATATGTTAGTATACTTACGCTGTATAGTTNAAAAATCCTTTCCGGCAATATCCCATTTCAAGGACACACTGGCTTTGGCGGAGCAAAGTCATGGCTGTAATTATCTGTAAATTATTAGTATACTTACGCTGTATACTAATTATCAGTGCGAATATGTTAGTATACTTACGCTGTATAGTTTTAGGAAGTTTGTGACATATCAGAAGTTCAAGATATGGCTTTGCCTACTGGCCTTGATACCGTTCTGGACAGAACATCAGTACTACTGCAAGTATTGGCAAGATAATCATGAGTTTGAAGTCATTCATGCACATCTCAATAGCTTCAGAATATATCAACTGGAAACATTAAATACGTGCATATTTCTCANCAAGATATGGCTTTGCCTACTGGCCTTGATACCGTTCTGGACAGAACATCAGTACTTCTGCAAGTATTGGCAAGATAATCATGAGTTTGAAGTCATTCATGCACGTCTCAATAGCTTCAGAATATATCAACTGGAAACATTAAATACGTGCATATTTCTCATCCCTGGTAATTGGTCTGGGATGTTATATTGCTCGGACTTGAAACAAATCTCCGCCAATTTATGCTGCTGTACTGATATAGTTCCCGATTGGCCATGTGCAGGCATGAAATAGTCGGTGTTGTCACCAAAACAGGTAGTAATGTCCAGAAATTCAAAGTTGGAGACTGAGTTGGGGTTGGGGAGATAGTGGGCTCCGGCAAGACATGTGAGATTTGCCAACAAGACCTGGAGAATTACTGCGCCCAATTGATTTTTACCTACAACTCCATTTATAAAGATGGGACCAAGACCTATGGTGGTTATTCTGATATTGTGGTTGTTGACCAGCGCTATGTTCTTCGCTTTCCTGATAATCTACCTTCTGATGCTGGTGCTCCTCTCCTGTGTGCTGGAATCACTGTGTACAGCCCAATGAAATATTATGGAATGACGGAGCCTGGAAAGCATTTGGGGGTGGCAGGACTTGGTGGGCTTGGTCATGTAGCTGTGAAGTTAGGGAAGGCCTTTGGCCTTAAAGTTACTGTCATTAGTACATCTCATAAGAAGGAATCAGAGGCCATCAACAAGGTTGGTGCTGATTATTTTCTTGTTAGCTCAAATCCCGAAAAAATGAAGGTAAGTGAAAGATTAGCTTGATTAATTTAAAGGTGGTGAAATTGATTTGATCAAACTGGGTGAGATTTAGTGTGTATAGAGATTCAAAAAACAACAAAGAGTAAATGAATAAAAAGATTGATACATAAAGGGCAATGTTACATGGACTTAAAAAATAGATTTGATAATTAGATTTCACTCTGGGTCTCATTTATTGAAACTCACAACTTATTCAATGGTTAAGATTATCAAGTATAATTTTTAAGTCCATCTAGCATTAGTCATACATAAGATAAATATAAGAAAAGATAAGAAGATATGCGTCCGCCCCTACAAATTTGGCGTAACCGGTTATTCCTTAACTTGGAACCAAATTGGTTATTGAGCAGTGAAAATTGTAACAATCAATTCTCTATTATCTTTCTTTGGCTAAGTGACAAGTATTTTCACAATGCTTGTTTTAACCAGCGGTATTCTTTCGGGAGGAGAATGGGCTAATGAAGCATTGGGATCATATTGGAATTGGGACCCAAAGGAAACTTGGGCAATGATGGATCAAAGTCCAAATTTGGCTCGTTTGTGTTGGTATTTTTTTCCCCTTTGGCCCCGTGACAGCCTGAACCACGCTGGAATTGGTTATTTATTTCACTTAGTGGTAAGGCTTGAGTTGCAATGATTGGTGCTGTGTTTTGAGTGGCTGAACCACTGAAGTCTCACGCCAACGCGTCATATTAGGCCAATTTAGCACTGGGCAGATATACTTCCTTTGCAGAACTTCCCCAAATTGAGGACGAGCCCTGATGACCTATAATGTGATTCAGCTCAAGTTTTTCAAACTCTGCAGGAATCTTGTAGAGATGTTGCATATGGATGTCGTTTTGCTGTCTTCTGATTAGATACATGTCATGAGGTGGGAGTTTTTGTTCAGCGCTTTAGACTGAGTTTTGCCTGCCATGGCATTGTCTGTGGATATGTCTCTCCGCACGTAAGATGTGGGAGATAAATCAGTGGAATATGTTTTGGCCCTCAAATCAATAGATTCTAGAATATGGTTTATTGCAATGTAACTTTGAACTATTTCCTTTTGTGGTTGTTCACCGCAGGACGCTCTGGGAACCATGGATTACATCATCGACACAATTGCTACAGTTCATCCCTTGGCCCCCGTTGCTTAGTCTGCTGAAGATTAATGAAAAACTTGTTACGGTGGGCCTGCCTTCTAAGCCCCTAGAGCTGCCTATCTTCCCTTTTGGTTGTGGGTAAGACATTAATTCAGTCTCGTGGTTTTTTCATTAGAACAAGCATTATGTAGGTGTGTATCTCACTGCCACCCCTGTTGCTATGCTGTAATTTGTCCATCTATTGCATCACTGTCGAGCAACACTGCTGGGCTTTGCAGTGACCAATATTTGATTCCACTCGAGTAGATATTCCAATTGNGCCCAGCTTGCACTAACATTGGAGCTCTTTTTAACTTCAATCTGGGTAATTTTTGCCTAGCTTGGTACTCTAACTCTGACTCCTTATGCCGCTTATCATTCACAACTCTTTCAAAATGTACAAAGAACTGAACAATATCATGGTCTAGCTTTAAATACTTCCATAAGGCTGCATTCAAGCTCTCACTCAATTGGGTGTTTCTCATTCCTACAGTGAAAGTCCTATTCATATATACATGCCTCATTTCTCTCGCAATGCCCAACTAGCTTTCATCTACATATTATCATGCAAATTATACTCCGCAAGCAACGATTCCCAAGCCTCAAATAATACATGTTCTTCTTCATATCCATACACACGCTCTTTAAATCGAGCAGAAAAACGTGAACCATCCTTATATATGTTTCCCAAATGTTTCAAAGCATTTTGGCAAAAGTACCAAGTACATAACCCATGGTATGTCCCTGACATAACTATAGAAATAACCTTAGCCATCGCTTGATCTTGGTCGGTGAAAATGGTAATAGGATATTTCCCAGACATAGCTTGTAGGAATGTCTCAATCAACCACTGAATGATGCTGTCATTTCATCATACAATAATGCGGCTCCAAATAAGACTGTCTCCCTGAAATGATTAAAGCCAGTAAAACAAGTACATGATTGATACTCTTTGTTCGTTCTAAAAGTAGTGTCAAATAAGACAACATCTCCAAAGTTGTCATAGTCAATAATCATCACTGAGTCAGCCCAAAAAATATTAGTAATATGCTCTTCCGCATCCAATTGCACTCCATAAATAGAATGATGAATTTTTCACTACTTCCATTTGAGTATACTTCAACAAACTACCCGCCTTACCATACCTCAAGTCTTGTTGTCTCCTTTCACAGAGGTAATTCTTTTGGTCAAGACAAGTAAAACCAAGACTTTCCTTTCCTCCAAACTGAGTACTTAAAAGTTCATAGAAAGCCTTAAATGACAATCCAGAATCCACTGTCATATCAATATTAATGTCTTGTGATTCGGTAACCTTCTGTTGGGATGACATCATATGCATACATTCAGTAATGTGCAAAGGATGGTTGTGGTTGTCGTCCTACTTCACTACAACAAATTTACCAATTTCTCTATTAAGAGATATGCACATATAAACTTGGCAATCTGTTCTTGTCTCTGTTCAAAACTTCCTTATTTGGCCCTCTCTTTTATCACGACTCATATGACCTTGTTTACAACAAACATATTTTCTGTAAATGACAACGTCATCTTTCAAGCTTTTATTCTAAAAATATTTTCTCATGCTAAATTCCACAAGCCCTCTATAACTATTGTAAAACGCATAAGCATCTTCCTCCGCATCAAATTGCATATTAATATGAGGTATATTATCAGTTGCATTAACTCTCAAATCATCCATCTTTGTATCCTATGAGTAAAATTAAAATTAAAGTGAGACATTAATTATTTCCAAGATAAATAACCGAAACCGTACATACCAATATAGAACAATAGACATAAAGAAAATAATATTTGGAACTCTTCTTTAGATTGGAAAAAGATTCTACTTGTTCCTCATTTTGATTTCCAGGATACAAATCAATAAAAGTTTTTCTTCTAACAAAAACCAAAAAAAGAATTATCAAATCCACACTTGATATGTGAATGCAATTTGATAATTATTCTAAAAACCATGACATACTTAAACAACAGCTTGAGCCAAAAAGAATAGTATGCCGAACAAGGATCTATTACAACAAATTTTCATATATCAACAATTATGTGTTACACAAGAATGCAATCGACACAATATCTTAAGAAGAAAAAGAAAAAGAAAGAAAATGATAACTTAGATTACTCCTGGAGTTCAATGATTCAGCTAAACAAACTCATTAGAAGCCCATGAAATTTTATGATGCATCGAGTAAATGTCATAATGGAGCCATGATTAAAATATGCATATCGTGTTCTGACCAAGAGGAGATCTAAGAGGCAGCTGATCAAATTTTCATTATGCTCAATTCGACTGAGTTGAGGAAGAAGAAGACGGGAGAAGCAGAGAGGAGGGGAAAGAGGGAGACTGCAGAACTGGAATTTACAAAACCAAAACGACGTCGTTTTGATCAGGTTGAATAATAAAAAAATACAAAAAATTAGTGAAACGGTACCGTTTTACTTAACCACGTGACATGCGGTTTTCTCCCAACAGCAGAGGATCTGCTCCCCCTTCTCTTCTCTCTCTCTGTTTTCAAAACAGTCACTAAGGTCCTCTGTTTCTCATATGCTCTCGCCGGTACTGCGTGCCGATTGCCGAATCCCCTCCCCCCCCCCTGGGGGTGTTAGGTCTGACAATGTCAAAGTTGTTAGAGTTGTTGTTTACTTCAGCTAATAAAGCTCCTGTTTACTAGGAGTCACTAGTTAGAATATGTTTTGAATTAGTCTGTAACAAACATCACGATTTGTACGTGATTGTTTCTGTTGCTTTCAGTATCTCATCATGTAAAGGCTATATAAAGCCTGAAGTTGTTTAATAAAGATATATAAAGTATTTCCAGAACTTTGTATGTGATCAAGAGTCTTTCATATTCTGGTATCAAGCTTGATGTGTTTATAAAGCTGCGAGAAGAGCTTGGAGTGTGTGAGGTACCACTGATCTTAAACTAAAACTGAATGTTACTGTGTTCAGTTGAGGGGAGGCATTGTTAGGTCTGACAATGTCAAAGTTGTTAGAGTTGTTGTTTACTTCAGCTAATAAAGCTCCTGTTTACTAGGAGTCACTAGTTAGAATCTGTTTTGAATTAGTCTGTAACAAACATCACGATTTGTACGTGATTGTTTCTGTTGCTTTCAGTATCTCATCATGTAAAGGCTATATAAAGCCTGAAGTTGTTTAATAAAGATATATAAAGTATTTCCAGAACTTTGTATGTGATCAAGAGTCTTTCATATTCTGGTATCAAAGCTTGGTTAGAGGCCTGATTGTGAACAAGTTTCAAGTGAGTGAAACACGAGAGATTGGGAGTGAAACACTGCGAGTGTAGGAGAGTGTGACGATGGCTGAGGGTAACAGTTTTTCACAAGCGTGCATCCCCAAGTTTGATGGGGATTATGATCATTGGAGTTTGATCATGGAAAATCTCCTTAGATCAAAGGAGTNTTTTCACAAGCGTGCATCCCCAAGTTTGATGGGGATTATGATCATTGGAGTTTGATCATGGAAAATCTCCTTAGATCAAAGGAGTATTGGAGTGTCGTCCAGGGAGGCTATACAGAACCAGAACCACCCGGTGAAGAAGCATTGACACCAGCTCAGAGGAAGACTCTAGAAGAAGCAAGGCTGAAGGATTTGAAGGCCAAGAATTATCTCTTCAATTCCATTGACAAGGCCATCTTGAAGACAATTACTCAGAAGGCGACGGCCAAACAGTTGTGGGACTCAATGAAGGTTAAGTATCAAGGAAATGCACGGGTGCAGCGTGCTCAACTTCAAACTCTTCGCAGAGATTTTGAGCTACTGGAGATGAGATCGGGAGAGACAGTCAATGATTATTTCGGGAGAGTGATGGTGGTAGCCAATGACATGAGAAACTGTGGTGAAGACATGCCGGATGTCAAGATCGTTGAGAAGATTCTCCGTACTCTTACCGAGAATTTCAATTACATTGTGTGCTCGATTGAAGAGTCGAAAGACATTGATAGTCTTTCAGTTGATGCCTTACAAAGCTCGTTGCTGGTCCATGAGCAGAAGTTTCGAAAGAGTGGTGGAGATGAGCAAGCACTGAAGGTCAGTTATGATGAAAGAGGAAGCAGAGGCAGAGGAGCTTCGACTAGAGGCCGAGGGAGAGGCAGAGGGAGGCAATTTGACAAGGCCACTGTGGAATGTTATAAATGTCATCAACTAGGGCATTTTCAATACGAATGTCCTAGTTGGAACAAGAAAGCCAACTATGCTGAGATTGATGAGGAAGAAGAGATGCTTCTGATGGCTTTTGTGGAAACTAACAATGCAAAAANATACGAATGTCCTAGTTGGAACAAGAAAGCCAACTATGCTGAGATTGATGAGGAATAAGAGATGCTTCTGATGGCTTTTGTGGAAACTAACAATGCAAAAAGGGAAGAGGTGTGGTTCTTAGATTCTGGATGCAGCAACCACATGTGTGGGAAGAGACAGTGCTTCTCGGGTTTTGATGGTACATACAGACATTCGGTGAAGCTGGGCAACAATACAAGAATGGAAGTGATGGGGAAAGGAAATATACGGCTGAAACTCGAGGGCGCAACTCAGGTGATTACAGACGTTTATTATGTGCTGGATTTGAAAAATAATTTGCTCAGTATAGGCCAACTTCAAGAACGGGGATTAGCTATTCTTATAAAGCATGGAGTATGCAAGCTTTATCATCCAAGAAGGGGTTTGATTATGCAGACATGGATGACTGCGAATAGGATGTTTGTGTTGTTGGCTAGTATGGTACCAGAAAATTCTACTTGCTTACAAACAATGACAAAAGATGAATCGCAGTTATGCCATCGGAGATATGGACATCTGAGCTATAAGGGGCTGCGGACGTTAAGATACAGAGAAATGGTAAAAGGCATTCCACCATTAAAAGCTACAACTAAGTCATGTACCGATTGCTTGGTAGGCAAGCAACACAGAGAGGCGATTCAAAAAAGGAGTCAGTGGCGTGCTTCCAAGAAATTGCAGCTCGTACATGCTGATATCTGCGGCC